TCATCAACTTCATCATCTTCATCATCTTCATCATCATTATCATCATCATACAGAAAATTTTCTTTTGTTCCGTTTAAACGTTACAGAGTATTATATAGATTTGTTCGTTTAAAACTTAACTTCGTAAATAACATTCAAAAAACAAGTTCACCAAAATGGCGGCAAAAGAAAGGAAATTTCGTGTGCAAAGGGTTTTACAAACGAACTCCATTCCGTGGACCCACAACTTTCTGGTATACTTTGGATCAATCGGGCAGTCGATTAACAGAACAGCGCCGACGAACGTAAAAATCTAATGAAGAACATCTTTGGGAACAATAACAGTAATGGAAAAAAAATCATTCGTTATAGATTCAATAACAATAACAGAAATAATATTAATACATATCATTCGGATAATATAATACGCATTATATTAATAATTTATTAATAATTAATAATTAATTAAGAACATTCAAGCTATCGGACTGTTCTGTTAACAACAGCGATAAAACAAACGTTCTTTTGCAATCCGTTCATTTTTATCATGCTTTAACCATTTGCACTCTAATTATTTAATAATACATGATAAATAAATGCACACGTTTAAGAGTCTTCAGTTCTTAAAACAAAATTGTAAATAATACTAAACGCTCGTGATAACATTCTTTAATAAAATAGAAACAAATTTAATCTCCATCTGCCCTAATACGCCATTACAATTTAATTGCGAATTCATTCTTTTCAAAATAAATAAAATAATATTTAGTTTCTTGCAATTGCAAACATGAGTTTCGCTTAAATGGATTTCAATATAAGACGTTATTTGTTTCTCTTCTTTTTAATTTTTAATAACAATGTAATAGTAGTCTGTACGAGTTTTTGAAAATACTAAAATAACACTAAACGGACGGCTACTTTGTAAATAGCTACACCCATTCTAAAAGTAACCAGTCGAATAACTGATTACGAAATAAAAATAAACAAGTTGCATGATAAATTTTTTTCTAGTGGAAACAGAAACTAAAGGAAAGACAAAAATTGAAAAACCAGTTAATCGAACAATATAGGAATTGACACGGAGTTAAATGAGGGAAAGAGAATGTAGAATTTTAAATCAAATTTTAGAACCGATCATTTGACCGATTGCGATACGTTTAGTGATAAAGGACAAGTTAGTATGAGTTCTCGTTTCAATGGAATATTATAAATGGCACAAGCTCACTGAAGGTCTGTTCCTTTACATCTCAGCTTATAAATAAGAGATGTATTAAATGTAGTTTAAAGTAACGAAATCAATTTTTTTACATACTTGATAAATTAAAACCAGTAAATTTATTACGAATAAAATAAAAAGAAATAATTATTTATATTGAAACCCAAATACTGAAATCTGAGATTACCTTTTCGAGAAAAAGTTCCATTATAATAATTTTTCTTATTTTAAAGCATCGAATTGTCATTTGTTTAAACAAAACCACACGTTATTCAAATGTTATTCATTTTTCTTTTCGATTTACTCATATACAACATTTTTATGTTTATCAGTAAGAGTATTTATCTTTCAATGTAATAATACTGAATTCTACAAGAAAAACCGAACCGAAGTTCTATTATCATCGAACTAAACTCTGAGTGCAAAGGATTAAATGCGATCAGTGCAACCACCAGCTTCACTTTATTCGTCCGAATACTTCACCGCGCGACGCGACGGAGGCAATTCACGCGGAAAACTCGACCGTTTCATAAATGTTATCCTTAATATCAATGAAGAGAGGGCCTAGATGTTCTCTGTTTTAACCTAGCCAAAAACGCTTGGTCCCCGTCGTCCTCCGTCTTTGACAATATTCCCCGGAAGCTTTCCGATCTATACTTATCCCTCAAGAACGTCCGCCTCTCCTCTTTGTACTTTTCTATCCTCTCTCTGCATTGGGGATCGCCCAGGTCTAAGCCACTAAGGTTCTTCAGCTGAATTTTGTCAGAGTTACAGGACACATTCGTTCCGGTTCCAACATTGGGCGTAGAACTATGCTGCGAATCTTCGGAGGACTGTTTCACGGGCAGAGAAGCTTTCTCAGTCATTTTATTGAATTTAGCCTCGTCCAACGATCGGCTCAAAGATGCTCTAGAAGCTCTCGCATGGCGAGCTCTCAAGCACGGCGGTAAATGTTGAGAATTCAACGGTGGCTCTTCAGACTTTCCCCTAGCTGTGTCCAGTTCTTGCCTCATTTTTCGTTCCCTGACTATTTCCCTGCCAATCTCAGAATCGAAACTTCTGCGATCCTTGCTGCTTTCGGTTTCGTATCTTCTTCTTGGAGGAATGGTAAGGTCGCTACCCACCATTCCTCCCGATAATCTCTGCAAAGCCAGCTCTTGCAATATTGCCGCAGTATCGCGGAGGACTATGGAATCATCTACCGGAGAAGATGCGTTTGAGAAGGTGCAAGATGAGTTCAAGGAGGTCGTCTCAGACGCGCCTTCGGGTGGATGCGCGATCTCGCTGGGCTCCGCCGCGTTTTCTGACGGGATCACCTCGATGTGCTCTTGTGGCTGAGTACTCTTCAGATTATTGCATTTCGAGTTCTCCTCGGTACGCTGATATTGTTTGTGCTGCTGACTGTTCTGAGCCGGTTCCTTTCGTGCTAGGTACTCGAAACTTTGGCACTTTTCCTGCTTCTGACTCGGACAACGTGGTTTGTTATTGTCGGTGAGGGATAAAGCAAGATCGTTCTTGCTCGACTTGCTCGAGAACGAATGACGATCGCCTTGAAAATGGGGCTTCTGGTGCAACTGTAAAGACCGTCGGATGTCCTGCTGTTGGAACTCCACGTTCCTGGATGCTCCTTGCGAATTCTCGAACGTCTCTGCCCCAAGAACTTCTTCCTTTGCCGGATTCTCGTTCCTGTTGAATGCTTTCGTATTATCCAATTGAGCATAACACGTGGAAATTTCGTGTTCCATTTCACTGGGTTTCTGATTCAAACGAACGTCCGTTACGTTCACGGCACAAATCTTCTGATTCCCGTTTTCCTGGTCGTGTATCGGGGAGATGTTCGAGAAATTGTTTCCGGAATCGACCAAATTGAAATTCGCTTGGCCATCGAATCCTTCGCCTGACCTTCGAGCATTGCCATCATGATCCTCCAAATCTCGATCAACGACGTCGAACGTCATCTCTCCAGACTCCTGGGGAAGTAGAGGACTTTCGGTCAAATCGCTAACACCAATACAAGATGTGTCTGTATCTACGGTTGACCCCATAGTGAGATCCAAAGAGGTTCTAGAAACGTTCTCCGACATCGACCTCAATTGTGGGGTATCCGTTGCTATGGCAGCATTCACCGTGCCTTCCAGAGGATCTTTAGGACTGCTCGATTCGCTAGTAGGAGTCGTAATCGATCCAGTCCTTTCGACTATTACCCATTCACCAGAATCATTAGTGTTGGATGCCATCTGTGGTGTTTCTGTGCTGGTGAACATCTTATCGGAACTGTCACAAATAACAAAACCGGAGTCCGGTAGATCTTCGATGGTCTGTTCGTAGGACATTGGGGAATCAAGGTCGGTGGCACTCGACAATGGCAAACCTTGCAATTCGTTTCTGTGCGCGTTAGAACTCTCGGCCAAATCACCACCGTTCTGGCAGCTAATGGATTTGTTCGAAGAATCATTCGTTCGTATGTCCAAATTGTCTCTGTTGTCGCTATGGGACGATTTGCTCTCATCGGTTGGACACGAGCTCGATCTATTCCCTGCGTTCTTAGAAGCAAGCGTTGTTTTGTTCGATTCTATGTTGCTAGAGTGGGACATTAGCCTATCACAAGGTGTCATCTCTTGGTCTACATCCGACACTGCTAAATTTGACACCTTCGAATTCTTTTGAGCCTTGGAAGACTCTTTGTCGTCGTACAAGTCCGCGCGCTTCTCGTACATAATTATCCTCTCGCAGGACTTCGCGTTACTCTGCCCTTCTAAGTTTACGGATAACCTATGACTAGGGTCGGATGATTTATCGGAAGACACGCTAGTTCTGTTCAGCTTGTTCGTGTTCCTCTGCTCGTCGTCAATTTCTAATGGTAAGGTGAAGCTTCGGAAACTTATCCTAGGACTGTTGGCTGGGATGGGTGATGCGGAGTGCGGTGTGCCGTGTAACGTCGCGGGGGTGAGCGGCGTTGATGCTTCAGACAACAGTGGAAGGTACCCTGGAGTAGGTAAAGGGGATGGGGTGTCCATACTGTGCACGTCTGCAGACACCATCACCTGTGAATATACACGACAATGTATTTACAGGGTAAGTTACATGAAACGAACGTCCAACAAGGGAACATACCGAAGTGAAAATCGACAATTTTGATGCAACTTTGATAAAAAGTAGTTCTTATAAAGTCACTTAATGCGATTATTTATTATATAGAAGGATCGTACCTGATCAGGACTTTGGCTATCAATGAAGCGCAACTCGACGTCGCATTGCAGTCTTTCTTCTAATCTCGATCGTTTTCTCTTGGATCCACCGGTGTTAGCAGTGTTCTGGGTCCCTTCCATTCTCTGTCGCCTCGGAGATGCCTCGACTGAAGCAACACCTCCACTTTCCTCCTCGGAGAACATCCTCATCTCGCGTTCTTCCAAATCAAAGTTAAGCTGTATCTCCGACAAGTCCAGGGGTGAGGTTGGATTAGGCGCGTCCGCCAGATGATCGAAGTACGAGTCATGGGAAACCGAACGACTGTGCCCACAGGGTCTAGCCGGCGGGGGTCCGAGCAGAGGACCCAGGCTGTCCTCGCCGTCTAAACTGTCGGCGCTTTTCACCGGTCTTAACCGTCGCAACGAGTTTAAGGAACTTGGCACCGTTTCTGTTTGAGGTGGCGTGCCAACTTGCCTCGGTTTTCCCCTGGCACCCGGACCACCCCTACCAAACAAAGCTCTCCAGTTCAACGATGGCGAACGCTTCGAGCCGTTTCTCTTTCGCGGCAGCTCTATGACAGTGTGATACTGTAATGACATTCCAGCTGGCCCAGCGCCCACCTCTATGTAATCCGGCTCTCCTCTCAGACTTCTGTTTCGAGCCTCCTCCAGACTTAACAATCTCGCTGGTGTCGTAATCGCCAACGATTTAGGTCGGCCGACCGGACCGTCGCCGAAAATTAATTCCGCGTAACAAACTAAGAATTCCGTAACAACCGCCTGCACACCGACCCCCTGCAACGCCGCCACACCGCCGACTTCTAGTTCCTTGCACCTCAACAGGTTCGGAGCCCATACTATGGCGATGTTTCGGGGCGTCATGCCGGTCTCCGTGCCACGGGCTGCGACTCGCACCAGATGGCGCATGAGATATTCTAAAGTTCTGAAAATACAGATTCATAATCGTGAGTACATTTCGAACTATTCAATGTAGAAATGCTATTTACCATATTAATATCGTGGGTTAACTAAGCCATATCAAGACTTATTCGAATAGTATCGAATATTTTAAATAGTGTTAGAAGTATTTTTTCTCTAAATTTTACCCAGACTTAATCGAGTATTATTTATACGATAAAAAGTAGTAGAATTTAAGAAAACAGAAAATAGATATGTTTTTTTCAGATACCTGTAATGAGGTGGTGGTAATTTTCTAACGGTATCCCTCATCCGCCTTAACCTTTCCGCGTCGGTATTAGCCTGAACCGCGCTAACGAAAGTAGAATAAAGCTGGTATGTACAGAGTGGATTCGGTAGCTCTCTGAAGTACATTTTCAATAAAGACGCCACCGAGTGGATGTCTTGTAGAATACTTTCATCGGAATGCAATGCAGGAACACGATCCTCGTCGAACGCGTTTCGTAATCTTTGAATGTTCGATGTCACGCCGCTTAGACGATATATACCATCAACCAACCCATGCTTCTCGATGAATTCAGTGCAACATGTTAAAACGGTGGGCACTGCAATGACAAATATTATTAAAGATTAACATTTCAGTCAGCGGAAGCTTACTGGTAGACTAGGAAACGTCTTTGCTAAATTGAAACAAAGATAATAATTGTTAATCATAGATCTTTAAAAGACAATTAGATAATTACTTGTAAATAAAGTGTTAATTGCATCATTTTCCGTCTTTTCGAGTACTTCATAAAGACAATTGCAGTACTTAAATGAAGGGTACCTGGATGTTACTATTATAGAGTTGAAAGGAGGGATTCACATACCATCGTGACCCGAATTTAATAGATGTTCTCCTAAGTCACAACCAAATACACGTTCCTTCAAGATTCCTGACTGCTTTAACCGCCTCCTAGAGGGTCTATTCAGTATGAACGATCTGAAGAAGGCGATCAGTTTCCCATGTTTCCTAAACACCGGTTTCACAGGTAACTTCGACCTGACTGTCGTCGACACGGTCAGGTGTCGCGGAACTTTATCTCCTATCACGGCCACACATTCTGCTGGGAAAAAACCGACTGCAAAGCCATGCTTTCCGCGCCACCATGTACTTTCTCCCGGGGGAGGCATGTCTATTACAGATATCATGTCTCCAACCTAAAAGTCATGAATATGTATATTAGATCACAATTAGAGATTTACCGGTTTATCTTACACTTATATTGTAAATCGGTCGAAATGTTAAAGTTACAATTAATTGCTGAGTAAATTTCCAGCAAGATTTATATTGGCCTTTATTGTATTGTACGCCCAAGGCTTGTACGTTAGCGTACATTTTGCAGACATAAAATTAGTCATGTTCCAGTCTGATTCAGGTTTAGGCTAGTCCACAAGTCGAGCGTGCCCGAATGACACTCGAATGACACTCGAGGTTGTTAGATGCGTATATTTGATGTATTTCATGTATTTCCAGTGCGTGAGTCAATGAAAAGAGAACACTTACATATTTTTAAAATTGTTGGAAATGAAACGAAAATGATACATATAGTTGTTTCTTTGTTGGAAAGTACTGAAGGATTTTCAGTAAAGAGCTTTACTTGTTCGAAAAGTAAACTGATTTTAAAAATGTTACAATAACTTAATTTCCCCGAAACTATTACAAGACGCATTCATATTGCAAAAACTGAAATAACAAACTCTAAATTTTTCAAAGTTGGGTATAAAACATTTCAAGTCTTAAATAATTGATGATTAAGGGCTGCTTATATAAGGCTCAGAGCTCAATAAAATTCTTAAAGATTCTAAAGTGATGCTATTACTGGCGAATTCTCTCCACTGCTCTGCTTCAGCGAAAAAATTAATTACTATCAGTACGAACAAGTCCTATGATAGTCTCATTAAGGAAAATAATATACCAGTATCACAATACGGTTATTATAGGTGCTTAAGAGTTCGCAATTACAGGAAGAGGAATGTCGTAGATAAGGATCCTTTGTATAGAGAATGGTAAGTCCGACGATATGAACCGTTTTCCCGCAAAGGCTCACCTGGAAAGAGATTTCATCTGGTGCTTGAGCCACGTACGGTCTAACTGCATAAGCTGCGGCTACCGCAGGCGTGTTAATAGGACATGAATCTGACTCCGGGACGAGGATTCTTCTTCCTCTATTATCTAGTTGCAACCAATTCAACACAGGACCGCAATTTAGGCCTTCATGATTCAACTGGGAGAACCGATTCAGATAGTCCTTCAGTATATCACAGGTGTTTTTCGACCGAGTGTCTGGAAGCTTGGTCAAGGAAGAGAACTTCCTGTCGAATATGCAGCGGTGCAGTTGTTTGTCGAACATAACAAAATTATCATAAGATCGTTGCAGGGTCCAGCATGCATCTCCAGATGTAACTCTAACCACGTAGCTGTCGGAATCATTGGTACCTTCGCTGAGTGAAACCTGCAATCACACCATTTTCATCGTCAATTTTCATTTATCACATGACTGGTTTAGCTCTCTTTATATTTTTATGGAAATATTCTTTCTTTTACTTTGTTTTTATTTTAATATTAGGTAAAAGTGATATATTTTTAAGTGCGTGTGTTTAGAGCTGAATTTATATATGAAAAATTTTGTTGACAATACGATTTATTTCGGTAGATAAATGTGATAATAAATTAGTAACATAATTGAAGTTAAAAACATTCAGTGTCTTCTACCATTATAGTATATTTCGCTAGTATTTATTATTTCACTAGTGCAAATACGATATGGGATGATTCGTGATTCTTGTTTCGATATAAATAATATTCATACATAATTCAAGTATACGATTCTAATTTTATTAAACAAAAAATAGAATCTAGCAGTTTCTAAAAACGACAAAAAAAGAAAATAATAAAAAAGAAATATCTTTTTTATGTTTATTAATTTAAATTTATTTAGTTTCGTGTGTTAAATGATCATTAGAAACTATCGGCGACATGAACTGAATGTTTAATAAAGGCAAGGATTAATTATGTATAACTGACCTCCAAGGAACTGAGCTCGACGTGCTCGTAATGAAAGTGGGCACATTCGTCCAATTTCGGGAACCGTGCAATACTGCCCATGTTGCTGCCTGAGCTGACTGGCGTGCTGAAGTCATCTGTTCGATTACATCCTAATCCCTGTACGAAGCAGATATATTTATTGACTTTCATCAAATATGCAAGTTGTTTTCATTAATTTTTTTAATCAATTTTACCAAAACGGAATTAAAGAAAAATTTATTTTACTTCACTTATATACACTGTATCTAATTTACAATTTGCTTGTAATCCATATTGGTATAATCTTATGACTTAATTCTTGTGCACCATTCGAGCAAATTACATATATATATATATATATATATTTAT